CTTTGAGCCATGAACATCGCAGCGGTCAGAGAGGATACAATAGATGATATGCCAAATAACGTGCAACTAGACTTGAGAGGGCATCGCACACAAGTTGCATACAAATTATACTACATTGTGTACACGGTGGGCCCTGAGCTCTGCAGGAATACAAGTCACAGGTAAGCGTACAACTTTGAACTTTGTGTGCAACTACAGTCAACTCCGCTAATAACGACTGCGGATATAACGACAATTCGCGAATAACGACAGCATTTCCATGCCCAGAGCAAAGTCCCTTCCAACTGTAATACATATAATGAGACTTCGGGTATAACGACACTTCACGAATAAGGACACTTTTTTGATGCCCCGCCGGGTGTCGTTATAAGCGAAGTTGACTGTACTCTGCAATGACCTCTCAAGTCAAGTTGCACGTTATTTGGCATATCATCTATTTGACACAAACATCATTATTTGTGAATGTTGGTTTCCAGTACCATCGCTTTCAAGCCCTCTAAGAGACCAACCGTACAGAGAGACCGATTCAATGATTTAGAATCATCCAAAGAAAAGGATGGGTGCCGAGGTCATGTGATACAGAATCTTTAAAAAATTTCATACCAGCCTCTAGAAGTATTTTGAAGTCAAGTCTCGCGGAACAGCGCTTTCTGTGCAGTCTTTCAGTCCGTGAAATGTGTGGAACGGCATGGCTTCAACAGGACCGGCGGAAGCAAAAATTATAGCTTGTTTGTCCGGCAATGCTACAACCTTTCATACGTTGTGCACGTCGAGCAGTTAGTACTGTCAACTTGGCTAATAACGACTGCGGATATAACGACAATTCGCGAATAACAACAGAATGTCCATGCCCACAGCAAAGTCCCATCTATACTGTATTACATATAATGAGACTTAAGGGAAAAAGGACACTTCCCGAATAAGGACACTTTCCTGATGCCCCGCCGAGAGTCGTTATGCGCAAAGTTGACTGTACGCGTTGGTGACCAAACAGTTGGTCTGGCCATGGCGTGACCAATCGGACTGGTTCCGCCGCCCCTGTTCAGGTACTTAGTGAAGTTTGCACAGTGCTTTGTCCATGATCATTTTCACTCTGGTGTCTTACCCGTAAACACTCCGCCCTTGTCATAGTCCATATCCGGTGACAGGGCAACAGGCAAGTGCTTCCAGTGAGCAAGATCTGGACAGAGAGGAAAGGAGAGAGAGAGAGAGAGAGAGAGAGAGAGAGAGAGAGAGAGAGAGAGAGAGAGAGAGAGAGAGAGAGAGAGAGAGAGAGAGAGAGAGAGAGAGAGAGAGAGAGAGAGAGAGAGAGAGAGAGAGAGAGAGAGAGAGAGAGAGAGAGAGAGAGAGAGAGAGAGAGAGAGAGAGAGAGAGAGAGAGAGAGAGAGAGAGAGAGAGAGAGAGAGAGAGAGAGAGAGAGAGAGAGAGAGAGAGAGAGAGAGAGAGAGAGAGAGAGAGAGAGACAGACAGAGAGACAGACGGAGAGAGACATAGAGAGAGACATAGAGAGACATAGAGAGACAGAGAGACAGACAGAGACAGAGGCAGGCAGAGACAGAGAGACAGAGAGAGACAGAGAGACAGATACATAGACAGGGAGACAGAGACATAGACAGAGAGATAGAGAGGCAGAGAGACAGAGAGAGAGAGAGAGAGAGAGAGACATGGAGAGGGTGAGAGTGCGTTAGAGAGAGAGAGAGAGTCCCCGGTAACTTTCACAATTACTATGGTTTTCTGCCGAGCTTAACGTCAGGAATGCTGTGTAGAAATATCGTAAAATCACAATTGCACCCTGCTTACAGAGGTCACCGGCTGATGAGCAAATCGATGCGTTCCCCCTCACCTTTGCTGACAATGTGTCCCCAGCTCATGTGTCCCCAGCTTGGCCCAAGAGGGTTGTACTGGAAGAAGAGATGATAGTAGCCTTTGTAGTACATCGGCCCATTCGGATCATTCATCTAACAGAAGAACAGATCACATTTCGACCATTCATCTGATTGCAGAGTAAATCACATTTTAAAGGTAAAAAACACAATATCAGGGTCCCTCAACTCTAATACTCAACACGGCCTCTTTGTTGCATACGTCACTAAACGTGTTCACCAAATTTTCAGGCATGACCCATCATCAGAGCGAAAATAGTGAACAAAAGCAAGATTATTCGGCTCAACTATGAGCAGGCAGTCCACTCCTCCTAATTTGTCCGTACAAATAGTATCGTACCCACATGTCATCCCATACCACTTACCCAGTGGTTTGGCGGTCCTGGGTGAAACTGCGGCTGTTGGTCATCCACCGGCTGTTGACCACTGGCAAGGCTGATCGCCATGGCAAGCACGAGGCTGCACTGCAGCAACATGTCTGTGCATGTGCAGGAGAGATGTATGGCTTTTCAGCATTACTCAAGTAGATTGCGGTGTCTGGATGCAGTGTGGACTACTGTAAGGCCAGTAATGTTGACGAACATTAATTTTAATTCTAACGATTTAATAAAAAATTC